TACACTAACTCAACTTTAGAATTTATTCTATAATTCTTTCAGCATGATATCCCAAGGTCATAGCCTCTTTATAGTCATACTAAAAATTTCTTCTTTGATTTCAGATGTTACTAATTAATTTAAATAATGTTAAAAGTTCATATCCATGTTGTGAGAAGTAACATTCCTATCAACAGAGTACCTAAGAAAAATCCTGGAGAGAACAAGTTTTACTTAGTCAATAAAACTATATTTTAGTTTATTCAGGCATTTTAAATCTACCAAAGACTGAAAATAATAAACTATTAATTCTCTTATTTTCTTCTATTTTGAGGAGAAAATAGGAAGAAACATCCTCTTCTAATAAAAGGATATAGAATAGGCAGAAAAAAATATGCATGTTGTTGTTTTCTGTAGTTTTGTCTTTGAATTTAAATCTTGCCCAGTTCCAGAAGTGATCATCTCCCTAGAAATCTGAGAACCACATGCATGCTATTTATCCAGGTTCTAACTTAATAGGGTCAAGGGATAAGTGGGGATAAAGTACTGGACATCAAAATTTCAAAAAGCTGTCTATACACTTCCAATGCATAGTTGAGATGGAGAACTAACAATAAAGAATTGAAAATGCACGATTTTGGAGGTGAAAGAGAAACCAGATTTCAAACCACATTATGGTAGGCTAATGGAATACAAGTTCTTTTTTTTTGTTTTTAGATTTTATTTATTTATTTTTAGAGAGAAGGGAATGGAGTGAGAGAGGAAGAGATAAAGAAACACTGATGTGTACATACATCAATCAGTTGCACCTCACAAACCTCCAACTGGGGACCTGGCCCCCAACCCAGGCACATGCTTTGACAGGGAATTGAACTGGTAGCTTTTCAGGTCACAGGTCAGCATGGAGCCACTCCAACCAGGGATGTTTATCCATATTTTGTATAAGTCTTTTAACATATGTAATCCAGTGGAGAATCTAGTTTATGCCTATCTTTTTAAAAATGGATTTTCATGAACTTGGTTTTAAATTTATTCTTGATTGATTCTCTAGGAAACCAAAATATAGAACAGTAAAAGATGGAAAATATTTTAAAAAATGACAAGAAATACATTTGTTTTCTAGAAAGCCTTGGACATATTTTAAATACCAGAAATAATTGTAAAAGTCAATCTAAGGGGGAAATATTCTGATTGTGAAAATAATTATTCATATTTTCATAAAGACAGATGTTATCAGGTAATAGTGCATTTTTATTCTCCATCATTTTTAACTTGACTAGAAAATAAAAGCCAAAATGATTCAGTGTTTTAAAAGCCATGGAACAGAGGCTCTGAAAGAACAGATTGGATATCTTTTTTCTTGATAAGTTTTTGCGAGGCATCTATAGCCCTTTTGCTGAGGGATGGAGGGGGGTGAGTAGAAGAAAGGCAATCAGTGTTTTTTAGGCCAAGCTTATCTAAAGCTCTAAAGTTAAACTTTCTACCTCATCATTACTCTATAAAGTCGTGGAGAGGCACAGGTCTGTTGAGCTGTACTGGTGATAATTTCCAATAGGATATGAACATATGTAGATGTCACTCAGTTGACATTAAGTTTGGAAGATCAGTCTCACAAGAAGCTAGCCAGTCACAAGTGTAGGTAGTATACTGAAGAAGGCTAAGGTTTAGCCGTAGTGTAAACACACTGTGTACCTAAGTCCCACACTTTGCAGGGCTCCCAAAGCTCTTAGGCAAAAAATTAGGCTAGCCCAGGAGCAAGTCCATCTGAACTTCAATATAGTTCCAGTGGTAGCTCTAGTTCTCTGAATATCAAAAGGGAAATCCTTATCTTGCAGGAAACTCAATCAGCAGTAGCAGCAACATCCCCACAGCACTTACTGAAAATGTGTTATCTTGGGCCCTAACCCTGACCCAAGACAGAAACTCTAGGGCTCATGGTCCATTGGTCTGCATTTTAACAAACCGTGTAGGTGATTCTGATGCAAACTGAAGTCTGAGAAACAGTTACACAGAAATAGTTTCCAACCTCGACAGCCTAAAAACAAAAACACCGATTCATAGATCCCAACCTCAGAGATTTTGTTTTCATTGTTCTTGGGTGCAGCCTAGGCATTGAAATGAAAGTCTGCTGAAAGGTTTCCTATGTTCGACAGGATTGATAAGCATTGACCAAAGGGAGACTTGGGGTATCCCAGAGGCCAATCAAGTCAGTGCAGCTGGCCACCAAGATCCCTGTAATCACTGAGAGAGTAATCAAGTCTTTCTTTACCAACGCAACCCCACACAAGTCTAATTTTCACTCCCACTATGGAAACAACATTGGTGCAAAAACCATGCAGAATATAACTCTTTCAAATGCTGTGTAATTTTGTGCAAACCCAAACAAGAAAGGTACCAGAATATCATTGGCCTTTAGGACTCTTTCTGAATCAGTGTTTTTCATTTTCTCTGGTGCACTTGTGTGATTCAGTGCAGAGTCTATTCTTTGTGTCCAAGTTCAAGTTCATTAATAGGTTTTCTCACATGGTGGCTTTATGGCTTTCTGGACAACAGGGAGTCACTTTTCAGTTAATTATATTTTGTATCTGGAAATCCGGCACTAGATGAAATGATTCATCCTTCTAAGTTTTTACTTAAAAAATTAAATTATACCAGAGTCTCTCGTGTTCTGTGACACTCTATAGAGCTGACTGATTGTCAGCTTTTACATCCTTTGTCTTTGTCACACTCTTGAATTTATTCATATATTCCTTTCGATTGTCTGTGGCTCTACTTTTAATGCTGTTTTCTCTCAGGTAATGAAAATCACCAGGTTTTATTGACCATTTCTAACATGAATGACTCAGCTATTCATACAGATAGATTTGCTTTATTTCAAAAACACTGGAAATGTTGCAATGAGAAGATGATAGGATGGCAGCAGATATTTGGAGATGTATTGGACAATGTGTATATAGCTCAATAGCCTCTTCTTTTCTCTCTGAAGTTTCCAATGGAGGTTTTGAGAGTATAGAGAGGACCTTGGTCAGATGGATGACTGTTTCCCTTCAAAAGTCAGTTTCTATTTAAAAAAAAAAAAGTAGCATAGTTTAGTAGACTGTGGGGCCAATTTGAGTGAGTAGAAGTTTGAAGCCCAGGTTTTTCATCTACCAGCTATATGACCTTAGATAAAATGTGTACATATTATTGCCTTTTACTTTTCATCTTTAAACTGGCAGTAAAAACTATATTCTTATGATAGTTTCATGGGTTAAGTCAGTTAACATATATAAAGCACTTAAAACAAGGCTTTCAGACAGTAAGTTCTTGATAACTCTAAATGTTTAGAGATCTTATTATTCTCACATCTAGATTCATTGAAATGATTGTTTAAAAATCTTAAACACTAAATAATATAGTAAGGCTAAATATTAACTCAGAGTAGATTGCAATTATTTGTATATATTTGATAATTTAAAAAATAAATGCAATAACAAATCTTGATTTTAACCAACGTGCCCAGGCTTGGCTGACTTGTCCTTGTGCTAGGTCAGTCACTGGGTGGTCTCCTCCGCGTTCTTTGCTGACTCTGAAACAGACAGCTGCGATCCTCCTGGGAGTGGCCGCAAAGGGGAGAGTTGAGAGAAGGGTATGGTGCTGCCTCTCAGTTAAGCACTTATTACGGACAAAGAAATTATTACAGTAGATATGTAAAGGCCAATATAACAACTGAGAATCACCTCTTCAATAAGAACAGAAGTTCATGGTTAAAATTATAAAAAAACTGTCAAGGCCGTCTAATTATGCGGAATGTTAAAAAGTGAGAACACATTTCTTTCATGGCTTATAGCACAGAAAATCTTCTAGTAGTAATAGTAATATTTTATTTTTAGATTATATTATAGTTTGTAAGTTATTTTTAGGTATTTTATTTAATGCTCTCAGCAGTAATATGAAGATAGAGGTCAGTATGTCATGTCCGCAGGGCAGGGGTCATCAGCTCCAGGTTGTAGCTCCCATTTTCAGTGAACGTGTCAGTGCTGTCAGTGCTGGCGGTAATAAAATACGGGTCCTAGAAATATGTGGAGGTTTTAGGATATCTAACTAGAATTAACATTAATAGTTTTGTAATATACTATATGTATGCATATATATTTTTTCTTATTGTAGTTTACTATAGTGATCGTTAATATATGTTTTTTGTAGAAAATGATGAATAAAGCCGAAATTTTATTCCCAAGCTCTTTAAAGATTATTATGAACACAAAATATCCTTTTGAAAGTGTCTCAAATTAAATCAAAGGCACATCATGAAAGTAAAATATGACATTAACAATTCATTTAGGTTGTGAAATTTTCACATTACTTTGTTTTTAATCATTTGCAACGTTCTGTAAGTCACATTTTAAGTGTTTTTTAAAGACATGAAATAATGTAGCATTGTTTTTAAAGTACAATCACAACTCTAGAGCAACTTAAGAGTTGTGTGTCACACACAGAATGGGGATATCTAATACATGACATGTTAATCTTTCCAACAAGTTTGCTAAGAAACAGCTTCCATATTTAGTGTTAAAAATAAAACAGTTTTCTCACAAAAATCAAGACATAATTTGATTAATAAAGCATATTCTTTCCACAATTTTACAATGTCTTATCTTCATTTAGAAATTGTAAATTCATGAGAAAAGGACAAATTTTGTTATGGCATTAAAATATCAGGAACAACAAAATTCCAAATATTGAATTTTTAAATAAATATTAATGGTTTCATTTCCAAAATGTAAACATCCAGTAAATAAAACACACATAATATTCCAGATGTGGAAACACTAGTAATTCCCTTGTGAAAGAGGTGCATTTTTGTATATTTGATGGTAAGTTTTTCATCTTAAGTATAAAGCACTTCAAACAAACTGGACCATTATTATTTAAAAATCGACTTCTTCACCCAGTTTCCTTACTGGAGTTGAAACTCATCAATTTCTGTAGAATTTTGGTGATAGGACCAGGCCAATGGGAAGGTCTGAAATACCTAAATGTCATTTGGTTAGGGAAAAATGCTTTCTTGAGACTTGGAGGCAGGCAATCAATAAAGCACAGGATCTGGGCTCCCGGAACGGGTTGCTTCCCGCCTGAATGCTGACTAGCAGGGCGTCCTTGGAAGCACTCTGCGTGCAGTACCATTGAAGTTCGGCAGCTGCTTGAGAGACCTTCGTCCTGTCCACCGCGGCCTGAAGCGGAAGCTGCTCCACCAGATGCTGCAGGGTGTTCACGCTGGCCCTGGTGGACCATGGCAGCAATGCTTCGCCTAAAAATATTCTGATAACATATATCCTTCTGACAAGTCAAGAAGACCATTTGTATTATTTTAAAAAATTAAAGTTGTTTTCCTAACACTTTTGAAGTATCTTCAGTGGTTACGTATATTTTGCAGGAGAAAAACATTGATATTGGGGGGAAGTACTGGAAAGTTATAGAGGGTAACTGAACACTAATGGCTACTTTTTGCTCCCAGAGTTATAACTAGGTAAATTTTAATTTTATATACATATATAAAATATCTAAGAATATATACATATGTATATATGTATTTGTATATGTATATATGTATGTGTGTGTGTATATATATATATATATATATATATATATATATATTCTATGTACACATACATATCCTTAGACTTAAGTATTCAAACCTGGTAGCTATTGCTTCAGTTTATCCTTTTAAAAAGAAGAGATTTTTGGAACAATTGATGTTTGGGTTTTCAATGGATTTTATATGGGCTCATGAATTATATAACTGATATTTGAAGAGGGAGAGGGTTAAAAAAAGAGTGATTGTTTTCTTAATAGGCATCAGGGAAAAAACAAGTAAAAGAAACATACAAAGTTGACCATGGAAAAGACTAGCAACACGTACCATATGTGATGCTAACTGGTGATGTCCAAAGGACCAGGCCACATCCATTTGGCTATGGAAGGCAGACAGAGCTCCCCTAAACAGAGCAAATGTTTTTACCTTTATTCCTACTGGGAGGAGGTTAGTTGTGGAGCAGGAATAAGTTAGCAGGATATAAACACTGAGAGTCAAGTAAAAAAGTAGGGAAAAATTTAATGCCTTAAACTGAGGAGTTTATTGTCCAGATATCAGGAGTTGAGAGACCTAAAATGTCATTGGTGATGGTGGTGAATTCCTCCTGGCTATTGAAGGAGGTCAGCATGCGAGGCAGGAATTTGTTCAGGTAAGGGAGTTCATGGATCCCTTCCGTGCTAGTCAGGTCTAGTCAGGTCGCAGTGGTGGTGATCAGGAAGAATAGAGCTTTGGCCAATAGAAACAATGTTGCCATCACAGCAGCAAGATGTAGAAATGGTGACAAAATCCTATGGGGCTTATTTCTAAACTCATGTAAGAAAAGTACATAAGAAACCCCCCGAACTAGCTTCAGTGCATTTGGATCAGGAGTAATTTCTGCCATTAGGTTGTTTTTATGGCAATTTGGGCTTAAAAAAGAATTAAGATCTTTGTGTTCATAGGTCTGTAGGTCTATGCCATAGAAAGTATGGAGGAATGAGATCACACTTCCCAGAAAACAAGCCAAGGAACAAGCCAGCTCAGTTCAAGAGAGCTCTGTAAGTCTGGTGGACCACCCAGCATCTCCTAAGTGAGTTTTGCCTAGAATACAGAGCTCTGGCTGAACATTATCATTTTCCCCACTTCAGGAATAACTAACAAAACATGCAGAATGAATACTCCACTTATCTTTAGTATGTTTGAGTATTTGTTGTAACAATAAATAGATTTAAGAGGTGAGAATTCAAGAAATGTTAGAAATGTTAGATTAGTTGTTCAAAATTTCAGATTAGTCAAACTAAGTGTTAACAAAAGTACTATACCTTACAGAAAGTTGTGTAAAGAATTTATCTGGCTTTTGGATTCTTTAACATTACAAAATAATTTTAAATTAGTTACTAGGATACTCTTATACTATTAAAATAGATAATAAACACAATTTACATTATTTTCCAACTAGAAATGTGTTCAAAGGTAAGAAAAAATAAATTTTCTAAATATACCTTAGCTTTATTTTCTATAGACTTATGTTAGGGACCAGGAAACAAGTAACCAGTACCATTACTAGCTGAGACAGGCAGGAAGACAGAAGACAACTGGACTAGCTTTTGGCCTGATACAGTCCAGAATTTCTCTACGGGTTCCTCACATGCCCTGGGTATATCTGCATAAAGTCCCCTCTAGGCCTTATGGGGTATTCTCAGGGGATCTAGATCAAATAGACCATCTAGCAGGGGTGTCTAACCTTTTGGCATCTCTGGGCCACACTGGAAGAAGAAGAGTTGTCTTGAGTCATCCATCAAATACACAAACACTAACAAAAACTCATGATTGGGGGAAAAAAGATTTTAAGTAAATTTGTTGGATACCCCAAGCATTATCACAAACTCCTAAGAAATTTAATCAGAGTTTAACTAGTTTCCTTGTCTTCATTTCCTAGTCCCATTCAGCTTTAATTAATCCATTCAAAGACTGAAATGCTAGAAAAATCTGATAGAGTAATACTTCTCTCCCTCCCTCTGTTCCATTCTTTCTTATTAAGAAGGATTTTGACAAGATGTACAACACAACCCCATTTGGCTCTGAATCCCAGGAAGAAACTTTGGTAGTTAAATGACGCAAGAAGCTAAACACTTCATCTACTTCGGCCTGACCCAAGTGGCCACTCTGCTCAAATTTGGCTGAAAGCATGCACTGTGCCACACACCCAGGGTTCCACCCCAAAACAAGGACTGCAGCCTAAACCCAAATACCGGGGACTGGAATCTTCAGCCTCGTCCAAGGGAACACCTTGATCTTTGAACTTAATAAAAATTAAGTGTTTCTTTGTACAGGACACTCTCTGTATTTGTTGTGGTTATAAAAAAAATAATTAAAACAGCTTACATTTGTTTCATTTTCTATTCTATAATTCTCTTCCCCAGAAAGTTGGGGAGTTGGGCCCAGTACCTTCTTAAAATGCCAGTGGTTTTACAGAATGATTGTGCATTATTGGAGGAGATACTTTCTTGGTACCTCCCTATTTCCTTCCTCCATCCTCCATTCAACAACTATTTATTTAACATTTTATGTCAGATATTGAATTCAATATTTTAATTGCCCCACCCCCCCAAAATACACAGTTGTTTTACATTGTTATTCTAACCCTTCCTAGTTCTACCAAAGTTTGACCTATTTTGGTTCAAATTTGGAATGATCCCCTTTTTCATAGAGATCTCCTTTGGAATATTCTCTCTTAAGGCACTAAAAGTAGGTGAATGTCTTGCTTCTTGCTCTTCAATCTTCTTCCTTTTGCTGATTGATCAGCAGCCGGAAGCTCTCCAAGTGGCTGTGTTTCTAAGACACAATGTTGTATCTCTCTGAAATGTGCCCCTTCCCTCTATTTAGGTCTTTGGGCTTTAAAAGCAAATAACTTCTTTCTTGTTTTCTTATTTCATTCACCATTATGTTGAAATTTCCCTAAATCCAGTGGAGAAACATAGAAATATGCATCTGGTTCTTTATTGATGATTTTCACATGTGTAGATAAAGCTTCCTATGGTGTATATAGCAACTATGACTAGCTGAGTGCTATTATTTTGAACTTGTTGCTGCTCAAAATATTTATTGTCAATACATCCAGGAAATCAGATTAGTAGCATGAATGCTCTTCATATTTTTTTCCTAAAGTGTGTCTGCTTTGTCCCATTGTGAACATTTAGGATGACTTGAGGAAATCCATTAGTTTTCTAGCATATTTTAATTTAGTGATTTGCTCACATAACATTTGTCTTCAAATCCTCCCACATTCCTTTTCAGCACCTGGATCAGAAAAAGTTGCCATTCATTGGTCATGTAGAAAAGTTAAATACTTGAGGCAAAATATATTTGTAATTTAGGAAAGTTTCCCTAAAGTATATTTTTTTCTGAGCCTTTTCTATTTTAGAGTCATAAAGCAGTGCTTCTGTTCAGTCTACCATATGGACATAGGACATTGCATTACCCTCCTAATAGTGTTTTGCCATTGCTCTTGTGAGCCATGCTCAGCACCAAAAGACTGGATGAAGTGTTAGATAATGAGTTTCCGGAGCTGCCAGTCTGTTCTCTGACATCTGAGGTAGGCTAATGAGACCTTGAGTTTACTGTGCTTCTCTTGTAGGGAGGAACAGTGACAACAGAGGCTCTAAGCATAACTAGGGTGGAATAATCCAAAAAGACTGACTACAAGTAATGTTATATACAATACTGAGCTCAAGGTAATGAACTGCTGTCGTGTGATGTCATGGAAACAATATTGTCATAAGGCAAATAGTGATGAAGGGACTAAATTTGAGCAAAGCTTATAAGCTATTTATGGGATAAATTTTTTAAGTTACAGAGAGTTATAGCTTTGCAGAGAACCAACACAAGATGTATCAAAAGTTAAATAGAGGAATAAATATGCAGGAAAATAATGTGTAAAGGACATCCAAGACCAGCTTGAAAAAAAATTAAATCCCTTCAGCACCTTTAAGAATGTGTGTGTGTGTGTATGTATGTGTGAAGTTTAATTTCCTCTGTTCTTGTAGATGGTTTGACAGTGATTATACCCAAGGTCAAAGCTATTCATCAAAGACAAATGCATAGGCATTTAATTTGACAAGCACTTAAAATCAGTCACTGGCTTTTTAGTTACATTTGTACTTGTAATGTTCAGTTCAAACCACGTTTGAGGAGGTTGCTGTCATGGCTTTGGCTGAATGCTGCAAGTCAGCCCACGAAAACTGTCAATGGTCAGACGAGGGAAAGTCAGACAAAAAGCAACACCTAGAATTCCCAACTTGGCAGCAGGCAGGAGGACAGGTGGCAGAAATCTTTCATGCTGAAAAGCAGTCTGAAAGGTGACATTGGAGAGGGGTAACAGAGAAAGGTTTAATAGTCCAATTCCTAATTTAGAAATGCTACTGAGAACCCAATGTTCCTTAGAACAAAGATCAAAATTCTCAGTTAAAGGTGGTTTGTATGGTTAACAAAAAGGCATTGCTATAAATATCAGGTGATTTATGCCAGAGGGAAGATAATGAAAGCAGTATCAGATTCTCTAAGGGTGGAAATGAATCTGGGTTATATACCTCCACACAACAATTTTCAACCTTATTCATCTCATGGCACACATGAGCTAATTATTAAAATTCTGCTGCACACCAAAAAAGGTATTTTTTGCCAATCTGACAAAAAAAGTGGTATAATTTTGATTCATTCACACTGGATGGCTCTTG